ACCAGATGATCAAGATTTCCTAAAATATCAAAATTTGACAGATTTAACCAAACTTCCAAGTTAATTTTGCCAAACTAGAAACTTACAATTAACCTATATAATAGGACAAAAAGATATTGGCACTAACTTTTTTAAATATTCATCACCTCAATCACTCCTATTTTCCTGATATCTGTACAAAAAGGGAAAGTTCCTAGATACCAGCTCAGAATATCATGGCTTGCCTAACACTTGACCATAAAAAAATAAAGACTTGCTAGATACTTACCTAGACCATCAGAATGTGTCAAAAACATGGCCACTTGTCATATTAGTATAGAAGATGATTACTGGTTACATGCCTGCCTAAAATGTCAGGACTTCTCAGAACTTACACCAATACTGGCTTGATACCTGATCAGAAGAAAAGGATACCTGACTCATAAAATCTAGACTTGCTTGAACCCTGCCCAAAAATGAGTAGTTGCTGAATGCTAGCTCAGAACACAAAGACATTCCAGGTAGCAGGTAACAACATCTTGACTTCTCAGATACATAGAACATTAGTATTTGCTAGATACCAAATTTGAACATCAGGACTTGCTAGATATCTGCTAAGAAATTAGGACTTGTCATATACATGTCCTGAATATCTGCACCTGACAGATAACTTCTCAGAATATTAAAGACATGTCAAATATCAGCACATCAAGACATGTCAAATATCAGATTCAAAACATGTCAAATATCAGATTCAAAACATGTCAACTATCAAGATATCAAGACATGTTAAATATCAGATTATCAAGACATGTCAAATATTAGAATATCAAGCCATGTCAAAAATCAGCATATCAAGACATGTCAAATATCAGAATATCAAAATATGTCAAATATCAGAATAACACTCAGACATATAGAAAAGGTTTATTGCATAAGATGTTTAAATTTCTATATAATAATTTTAGTCTATGGTCTCCTTTTTATTTATTTTCAAAATCCTAGGTTGTTTTTAAAGAGAAATTAATAGCTCATAAATGTGGCAAATTCAGTTTTTTGTACACTCTGGCAGAAGATTATGAGTACTATGGTGATAAATCAAATTGTGTAAAATAATCATGTTATATAAAAAGTTTGTTTATTCTTTTCATTACTCTACACTTTTTAGCTTTGATTTATATAAGCACTCATTGAAATATACATATTTTATAAGAGTTGTCAGATGTGACATTAGTGCAGTTTTAAGTGATTGCTTTGCTCTCTACAAATGAAGAGCAAAAATATTTTCTTCTTTTAAGTGAGTTCTTGTTTCTCCAAAAAGCAAAATCTAGAAGAATTTGGCTATTTCATGGTTAATTTAACTTTAAGACTAATTTTTCAGACGTCAAATAAGATATAGTTAGAGTTTAGTTGATGTTGGTGCAGTATGTTATGACAAAACATTTGAATTGGTATTTATGCCAGTCCAATTAGTATTTCCCTGAACAGCCAGAAGAATGTCTAGGGAGGTATAACAGAAAGATTTTTATGTTCCAATTGTTAATAACTGGGTTAAGATATTTCTTATGAGAATGCTTACTCATGGAATTTTTATTTTCATTTACTGATCTTAGAGATTCCCCTGGTCTATTAAAGCACAACTCACCTTAAGTACAAATGCACTGAGTCTGCAATTTTTCCGTTTGATGCTTGATTGTATCAAACTTCTTATAAATTTAGTCTTTGAAGACTACATAATTATCGTAAAATATTAATAATGATCTTTCATACTGTCCGTTTATTTATCACAGACCACAACCATTAAATGATAACTTTTTGTAACCTAAGTGACAAATTATAATAATGTTTAAATCATGACTGAAAAATTAAAATTACAAAGTCAAAAGAAAATTTTGAATTACACAGTCATTCAAGTAAAAATAAATGATAATGTTTGACCACATTATAAGATGGCTTTTGTGATTTTATGCTGTTAATTAAGCATTTGATGTCTAGGAAAAATATATTTAGTTTTTTCGATAACATCTTCATGGAAAATGAGTTTGAACATATTATATGAACAGACACGATTTAACAAAGCTTGCATGATGTTTCAAATAGATATCTATGTATAGAATTGTATGCATTAGAAAAAATAAACAATTTGAGGTAAAAAAACGGATCATGGTTATACCTACTGTTGAAAAAAAATGCAGACTGCTTAACCGCAATATATATTATTTCTGCACCAAGATATTTATACATAACAGAAGACAAAACAAAAGATATTAAAGGGATAGTTTGAGGCACTTTTTGTGTGGGTGGTCATCTGCCATTTTGTACTTAGTAACTTTTGTTCTTTAGCAGCAGAGTTGTTGTTACAATATAAGCCTTTCCCAGACTATACAATCCCCTACTTTTTGTGGTGGGCTGGACTTCAATCTTAATTGACTAGGATTGTCAGTTTTCCTGATGAAGGTCGGTGGTTCACTTTGGGCACTCCAGCTTCCTCCATCAATAAAAAGTGACTGCCACAAAATAGCCAATAGTGCTGAAAGTGGTGTTAAACACCAATCAATCAATCTACTTTTTGAAGAAAAAATAAGTACCTGCACTTACTTTTTTTTGGATTTTACTTTTGTTATCTAAAAGTCTTTGCCCATGCACTATAATTATGAGGGTCAACATCAACATGATGACCAGAAGGGGCCTACACAGACTGCAGAATAAAGGGGGGAAAATGGCAAATTGTTATTGTGTAAGACATAGATATAAGAAGATGTGGTATGAGTGCCAATGAGACAACTCTCCATCCAAGTCACAATTTATAAAAGTAAAACCATTATAGGTCAAAGTACGGTCTTCAACACGGAGCCTTGGCTCACACTGAACAGCAAGCTATAAAGGACCCCAAAAATTACTAGTGAAAAACCATTCAAACGGGAAAACCAACGGTCTAATCTATATAAAATCGAGAAACGAGAAACACTTATGAACCACATCAACAAACGACAACTACTGAACATCAGATTCCTGACTTAGGACAGGTGCAAACAATTGCAGCGGGTTTAAACATTTTAAAATAGCTTCTTTGATAAGCACAGTAAAAACATTTCAACTAAACAGAACAGTTTTCTTTTAATGGTGTTTAGAATTTATTTATATTTATGGTCATGTACATTTGTTTTCTGGTAAACTAAAAGATAACATTTTCATAAGCCAATAACTGCAAGCTGTGTTTTAAGACACAAAAAACTATACAAAGGTGCATAGGTAAGAAATCCTCTGATTTCTATTCCACACTTAGTCAATCTACATTTTGTCTGAAACTGTTTTACACTCCCTTTAAGGACAATCAAATACCTTAAGGGCTTTTAATAGGTTAACCCTAGCATATCAGTGTGGTTTGATGCTTTACTTACATTACAATTAATTTTTTATGACTCCTGTTTTTTTTTATAGCAGTTTTAATTACTGCTGTTTGAATTGAAAAAAAAGGTACGTTAGTTAATGACAGGTTTTGTCAAGTCAGCAAGTAATTACTTAGTTGATATAGCTAATATGAGGCAATCCTAAAAAAATATCATATCGATAATTTTTCTCATTAAATGTTTAACAGGCATCCTAGTTTGTGACATCTATATATAACTCCAACAGTTTTCCTTCATCATTTTTTGAAATTTTGCATTGGAGATCTGAGTCAGACCTCTATAACTCTATTATTGCCTGTAATATTGGTTGCTGAATGTTAAAGCAACCAACTATCATGCAATCAAATAAGGATGCCAATGTCATACATATATGCTAATATTTACCACTGGACATAAATTTATAATTGCCATTGTACAGATGTTAGTATTTGCCACTGGACATAAGGTAATGTTTGCCACTGGACATGTGTTTATATTTGCCATTGGACAGATGTGAGTATTTGCCACTGGACAGATGCTAATGTTTGCCACTGGACATGTGTTTATATTTGCCATTGGACAGATGTTAGTATTTACCACACGACAGATGTTAGTATTTGCCACAGGACAGATGCTAATGTTTGCCACTGGACATGTGTTTATATTTGCCATTGGACAGATGTTAGTATTTGCCACACGACAGATGTTAGTATTTGCCACAGGACAGATGTTAGTATTTGCCACAGGACAGATGTTAGTATTTGCCACTGGACAGATGCTAATGTTTGCCACTGAATACCCAAAGAACAATCAATCAATAAGATTGATGCAATGATGTTAACAGATTGTTCTTATATTGTCACAATCAACAGTGTTTTAATAATCCTTTAGTTATAATCCTCAAGTCTACTTTATATAGAAAAGTCACTGAGATTTAATTTTCACGATTAATTAACCATAGAGTTTTTTCATTGAAATTTCTTCCCTTTCATTTTAAGGAACATACAATTAAAACATGACCTTGGCAACATGAGGTTGATCCATTATACAAATACACCTGTGTTCTTACTCTGTAGTCATCAATGGATCAATGATGATATAAACAGTTAGATTATGTAATCATTCATACTTTATATCCATCATCATAGACTATAGTCATCACTTCCTCATCATAAAATCTGCACAAAATGCAATTACACTCTCCATGTTCACTTCTACACGCAATTACTGATTACGCACTTTTTACTTGGAGAATATTAAACTTATAATAATGAAATTATAAAAGATTCTACTATTCTGAGATTTTTTTATGTTGAGTAATAAATCTTAATGTTTTTTTCTTCTCTTTTATGATTTATGTATATATATACTTTTTTTCTTTTTCTTTGATAATATCCACAAATAGCACTTAATTTATAACAACTATTTTTCATTCAAAGATGTAATAGTTGTATCAAGTATATTATATCATATCATAACTTCATCCTGTTTTTATCAGAAAAATGATTGCTGAGTATACAACAATTGACTGCATCAATCATATAACTGATAAACTGGCAGTTTTTTGTGCAATTTAATCTCTGAAATGTTTTAGTTGAATTAAAATTGAAATAAAAAAATATCTATGCTTACCTTGAAATGTTGTGTCTGGATTTGTCATAGCACAGCTGTGTGTTTTTGCTGCACTTTGTACGGGAATTTCTTTCTGTGTTTCTCCAGTAGAAACTTCTGATAAGGTCCCCCTTTTAGTTAGTACATTATTCACTTCTGCAACATCTAATTCCATGCCAATGAATTTCTTTTCCAGTTCATTATATTTTTGTTTTTGTTTATGTTGATCGATCTTCATATTGTTAATAAATCTGTACATATTTTGTAATGTCATTTCTTGTTTAGAAATTGTCACATTTAAATTGCTATTCTTCTGTTTTTCATGATCCAGTTCTTGTTCCATGTTTTGGAGACGATTATTTAAATCCTCTATATCATTTGAACCTCCTTTGAAAAGAGGTTTTCGAGGATGCATGTCATTTCTAAAGTCCTCGGTGATAACCTCATTGTCAATTGGACGTTGGCTTGTAATCTCATTCGGACAACTAGATGTGTCCATTTCTTTGACCACAAACACGTATCTGCAACGCTTTGTTTTAATTGTTTTCTTTGTTTTTAGTGAACTAACTTTGTCCACTTTCATATTCAGTACTACACATAGGTGTGTAATAAAGATAAGTTGACCAAATTTCATTGTGATGTTTTCAAAAAGTACAAGAAATAGATGACAGTAAAATCTGTGGAATGAACTTTAAATATTGCAAAGCTTGCAGGTTCTGATATCTATTTATATACAATTTTGTTTGAGTTGAATCCAATATTTGATGAATCTTCCTATTTTAGGATCTGCCGGTAATGCTTTGAAATTATTGTATAAAATTGTTGTTCTTATCACTATAGAAATGTAAATGTTACATTAGAATAAAAAAATGTTGTAGTCTGATGCAGTCTGTTACTGTCGGCATAGTCTGTAGTTCCTTAATAGCTGATAGTTTTCTCTGCGATGCTAAGACAATTTAAAACCTACCTCAACTAAATATGAATGAGAAATAATTCCTTTGATTAAACAACATAATTTAATTCAACACTAAAATTTTTTCCCAATATGCACTTTCAATTGTCCTTATAACTTTACAGTATCCAATTATAAAATACTAAACAGATGTCCAACTTCTGAAATCTTTCTATTGGCAGACGACAGTTTGCAATCTTTCAATTATATTCTGTTGTCCCCACATTCTGTAGCCATCTCAAACTTAACAATACCAAACGACTTGCACTCTAAAACAGCATTGACTGTATCACACACATGGATGAAGATTAGCATGCAGGTTTATATGATGAATTCATCATTGGTCTCTGCCCCCATCTTTTCTCTATGTTACAACCCATTTTTAAAACACAAAGTGACACCACAACCCAGTAGCTGCTGAATAAGCATATCATTGGTTTTCACATCTAACTACCAATGTTAAACATACTACTATCACTTTACACTTAATCATAAAATTATACATCGTTGAGTTATTTTTGATGATGTTGATAACAATTTATAAATTTTTTATTATGCTTAATATATACTTAAAGGTAACCTAACTGAGCTTCTGAAATACTTTTTAAAGGGGTTTTAGATAAACAATTTTACTTTTGCAATAAATTTGAATGACCCTCCTTATTACTTCAGGTAGATGAATAGTTAAAAGGACAATAATGCATTCTTAATAACTGCCTGGGTAACATCATGAGCTGTTGACTGTTGTTTAGAACATTATTATGTTTTGTCATACCTCCAGTAAATGAAAAATTGAACAAAGGAAATTAATTGTAATATCATAAGTTACCTAATAACAGTATTAATATAATTTTATCTAGATAAATAACTGTATACTTATAAGTTGTCTAGATGTTAATTGAATCTACATAATACACTGGTTCAGAGAAAATAAAAGCCCATTTATAAATTATTATTTGTAAGTCCCTTATCATACCATTAATTAATTATTGTTAACTTTCTTTCTAAAAACAAATCTTTCAGGACTATCTTTAATCATGTACTATATTTATAGGGAGGTCAACTCATATTCTTGCACATTGCACAATTTCTCTTTGTTGTGAAATTTATGATGATTATTTCAGACTTTATACACCCTCCATCAATTTTGTCAGTTTTTGTGAAACTTTTACACATCTTGAATTCTTATTAAGTGACTTAAAAACATTTTGAATTTTTTCATATTACAAAACTGAGTCATTTTGTAGGATTTAGAAAGAACATTTGCAAAATATTGTTAATATGCTATACTTTTGTAAGATTTTAAAAAAACCTAACCCAACAGAAAGATATTTTAAGTAGTAAGAAATTTATATGATTTTTATTTTACAATATATCTGTTATGTATTAATCAGTGAAAACATAAATTGTGTAGGGAATCTGTGTGTGGCCTGGAGTAAAAAAATGACTTTTCCAATATTTCAGACATACAATTGTCTTGTGTATGCAGTGTATATTGGCACATGTTTTGAAATTAATCAGAAGAGCAAATTTAATTATTTTGTAAGTGACTATACAACACATTTATGTTCAACTTGAATACCTATGTGTTGTTTCTTGTCAGAATAATTAAAGCAGTTCTATTTTGTGAGTTATTACTCACATTCACTCAATTATTGACAGATTTGAACTAAATCCACAATAACCAGATGTCTTTTAGTTAATGATTGACTTAATTCCTTTTAGACATGATTAGTAGACCTTCTTATTTGTTAGATTCAGGGACATTCTCTCAGTTTTAGGATCAGTACACTCCCTTTCAGTCATAATCAATAGACTTTTCTGTCAATCATGACCAACATATCCCTTCCAGTTATAATCAATAGACTTTTCTGTCAATCATGACCAACACAGTCCCTTTCATTCATAATTAATAGACTTTTCTGTCAATCATGACCAACACAGTCCCTTCCAGTCATAATCAATAGACTTTCCTGTCAATCAGGATCAGTACAGTCCCTTTCAGTCATAATCAATAGACTTTCCTGTCAATCAGGACCAACACAGTCCCTTTCAGTCATAATCAATAGACTTTCCTGTCAATCAGGACCAACACAGTCCCTTTCAGTCATAATCAATAGAACTTCCTGTCAATCATGACCAACACACTCCCTTTCAGTCATAATCAATAGACTTTCCTGTCAATCAGGATCAGTACAGTCCCTTTCAGTAATAATCAATAGACTTTCCTGTCAATCAGGATCAGTACAGTCCCTTTCAGTAATAATCAATAGACTTTCCTGTCAATCAGGACCAGCACACTCCCTTTCAGTTGTAATCAATAGACTTTCCTGTCAATCAGGACCAGCACACTCCCTTTCAGTCATAATCAATAGACTTTCCTGTCAATCAGGACCAACACAGTCCCTTTCAGTCATAATCAATAGACTTTCCTGTCAATCAGGACCAACACAGTCCCTTTCAGTCATAATCAATAGACCTTCCTGTCAATCATGACCAACACACTCCCTTTCAGTCATAATCAATAGACTTTCCTGTCAATCAGGATCAGTACAGTCCCTTTCAGTAATAATCAATAGACTTTCCTGTCAATCAGGACCAGCACACTCCCTTTCAGTTGTAATCAATAGACTTTTCTGTCAATCATGACCCACACAGTCACTTTCAGTCTTGATCATTAGACTTTTCTGTCAATCAGGATCAGTACAGTCCCTTTCAGTCATGATTAATAGACCTCCCTGATCTGATTTGATTTGATCAACAGTCTACCTGGCAGTTTGATCAGTAGTCTTCCTGGCAGTTATGATCAGTGGTCACCCTGCCAATCATGATCTGTGATCACCCTGCCAGTCATGATCAGTGGTCACCCTGGCAGTTATGATCAGTGGTCACCCTGCCAGTCATGATCAGTAGTTCACCTGTCAGTCATTATTATTAGTCAACACATCAGTCATTATAAGGAGTTACCCTGTCACTATCAGTCATGATCAGTTAAGTCACACTCTAAGTCATGGTCAGCAGATACTCTGTTAGATTTGATAATTATTCAACCTGTTAGTTATGATCAGTAATCACTCTGCCAGTCATTATAAGTAGTCACCCTGCCAGTCATTATAAGTAGTACACTTCTGACAATCATTAAAAGAAGTCACTGTCAATCATTGCAAGTAGACTACCTGTAAGTTATGATCAGTAGTCACCCTATCATTCATGATCAGTGGCCACACTGCCAGTCATGTCATAAGTCACCCTATCATTCATGATCAGTGGTCACACTACCAGTAATGGTCATTAGTCACCCTGTTAGTCATGATCAGTGGCCATACTGCCAGTCATGGTCATTAGTCAGCCTATTAGTCATGATCAGTCACCAAACTGCCAGTCATTGTCATAAGTCGCCCTATTAGTCATGATCAGTGGCCACACTGCCAGTCATGGTCATTAGTCACCCTGTAAGTCATGATCAGCAGCAACACTGCCAGCCATTGTCATAAGTCACCCTAGTAGTCATGATCAGTGAACACACGGCCAGTCATTGTCATTAGTCACCCTGTTAGTCATGATCAGTGGCCACACTGCTAGTCATGGTCATTAGTCGCCCTATTAGTCATGATCAGTGGCCGCACTGCCAGTCATTGTCATTAGTCACCCTATTAGTTATGATCAGTGGAAACACTGCGAGTCATTATCATTAGCCACCCTGTCAGTCATGATCAGTGGCCACACTGCCAGTCATTATCATGAGTCACCCTATTAGTCACAATCAGTGGCCACACTGCCAGACATTGTCATTAATCAACCTATTAGTCATGATGAATGGCCACACTGTTAGTCATTGTCTTTAATCATCCTATTATTCATGATCAGTGACCAGACTGCCAGTCATTGTCATTAGTCACCCTTTTAGTCATGATCAGTGACCACTGCCAGTCATTGTCATAAGTCACCCTATTAGTCATGATGAGTTACCACACTGCCAGTCATTGTCATTAGTCACCCTTTTAGTCATGATCAGTGGCCACACACTGCCATTTATTGTTATTAGTCAACCTATTATTCATGATCAGTGGCCACACTGCCAGTCATGGTCATTAGTCAACCTTTTAGTCATGATCAGCGGCAACACTGCCAGTCATGGTCCTTAGTCAACCTTTTAGTCATGATCAGTGGCCACACACTGCCAGCCATGGTCATTAGTCAACCTTTTAGTCATGATCAGTGGCCACACTGCCAGTCATGGTCATTAGTCAACCTTTTAGTCATGATCAGCGGCAACACTGCCAGTCATGGTCCTTAGTCAACCTTTTAGTCATGATCAGTGGCCACACACTGCCAGCCATGGTCATTAGTCAACCTTTTAGTCATGATCAGTGGCCACACTGCCAGTCATGGTCATTTGTCAACCTTTTAGTCATGATCAGTGGCCACACACTGCCAGTCATGGTCCTTAGTCAACCTTTTAGTCATGATCAGTGGCCACACACTGCCAGTCATGGTCCTTAGTCAACCTTTTAGTCATGATCAGTGGCCACACACTGCCAGTCATTGTCATTAGTTATGATCAGTAGTTCATCTGTCATTCATTATAAGTAGTCACCCTGTTGGTTTTAATAAGTAGTCACCATGTCCTTGTATAAATAGTTATCCTGTTGGTTTTAATAAGTAGTCACCATGCCCTTGTATAAATAGTCACCCTGTTGGTTTTAATAAGTAGACACCATGTCCTTGTATAAGTAGACTATCTATCAGTTATTAGGTAGATAACTTGTCAGTCATGAAAACCTTATGTTTATTTTTTGCCTTTGAATGTTCACTTTAGTAATACAGTTAGCATAGTTTATCAGACTTTCAATTAGTAACTGACTATCATTTCTGTACAGTGTCAGTGTTGTGCATGCAGAGATATCAATTTGTGGTTTGAAAGTTACAAATGTACCATTACTGGTGATGCATAACTTTAGAAAAGAAATAGTTAAAATCTTACAGATGGTTGACAAACTCCTTATATTTGAAATATGCTGCAACTCAGAAGCAAATTTAATGCTAATCAGTCTTAATAGAGATTTGATTGACAATGCTCATTGAGAAAAATTTCATTTTTTGTTTTTGTTTAGTTTTAACTTCTTTTTTTCTAAGGTAGCTGCCTCAGTTAGATATACAAGACAAACATTTCATAAAAGAACGCAGAGGCTGTTACTTTTTTCATTTGAATTGTTTCACATTTTTCATTTTGGGACCTTTTGTAGCTGCTTCTGATGGTATGAGGTTTTCTCATTTTTAAGCCTGTACGATGACCTTTAATTTCTTATCTCCACATCATTTGGGCTCTGGTAAGTAGTTGTCTCATTGGCAACCATACCACATCTCTTTATTTTTATACAAGCTTTCTGTTTCAAGAGGTCTATTCTCCTGTCAGAACAAACAGACTTAACTTACTGTAAATTTAATGTTACTGCACATGTAGTGTTGATTCAGATATATAAATAATTCATTCATATGAATA